GTAAGGGAAACCCATAACCTCACGAAATGGAACCCGCACGTGGATTGATGTTGAACCACTTTCTTTCTTTCTTTCTTTTTTTTTGCTCCCTTTTGTTCTACTCGGAGCCGGTCACTAAATAATAAAATAATAAAAGCCCTATAAATGTATTTTCTCTTATTAAAATAGTAAAATGGAGTAAATTCCTGTTTAATTATTTTTATTTCCGCTTGCGCAGTTTAATTTACTACAAATAAAAAAAGTTAGTAAGTTGCGTTTCCAACCCTAAACCCCTAAGGTTGGGTCGTGACATGTAGTGCCACTAATCTGGTAAAAATCTTCCTCTCAATTCTCTCTTTAGGCCTCATTTGGGAACATGCTAATTTAGTAACTTTTTGGCTATTTGGCTAAAATATGAGCTAAAAAAAACTAGTATGTTTGGGATGATTTTTTGGCTTTTTATGAAAAGATGTGTAAAAAGTAGAGAGAAAAGAGAATCTTTGACTTTTTGGTATGAGGTGTTGGCTTTTTGACTTTTTTAGTAACTTTTTGGCTTTTTGACTAAATCAGTCGCTTCCCAAACGAGGCCTTAATCTCATTTGCTACTCCAATCATGACTAGGATTACCCTTTTTTGAATATAAGCAAAAAATACTTCAACCGAGCTAGCATGACTTTTCCCAAGGCCTACACGGGTCAGTCCCTTGCTACCATACAGTCTGCTTGGCTACCAACTTTTTTGAAACGCGTCACATTAGGGACACGTGGCTCACTTTCGTTGGTTCTGTATATCTGTACCAGCTATCTTACAACATTTCCAATTGTGAAATGATGGTGCCTTTTTGGCCTCCATCCATTCAAATTTCAAACCCTTATATATACATTTTCTTGTATCTCTTCGACTTTTTACTGTTCTTTACTATTTCATAGCCACATCAGAGAAAACCAGAGTGATTTCTAGTCATTCGAAGCCATTTTAAGATGATTTTATTCTATTTTCTAGATTGTTATCACCATTAAAGCTCGTTAAACCCATTGAAAGTTGATTAAACGCCATAACATGTAAGTATCCACCGTTTTAATAAACAATAATAATCAATTATCTACACATGTTTTCTACTGTGTCCACTTCTTGTTACTGTCACGACTTGCTACCCGTACCCAAGGGTTAAGCATCGTGATGGCCAGTAACTGAGGTTACCTCCGGCCAATTCTTAAACAAATTAATAAATGCAAGCGGAATAAATATTTAAGTAAGGGTACCAAAATAATCTTTGAACTTCTATTTTTATTATAAAATTTATTGACCAAAAAGGCCGATATTTACATATAAACATATCATAAAAGTGCTGTGTGTGTGTATTCCGCAGCCCCGCGTCCAAGACTTTCCAAAAGCTATTTTTAAATTGCATGTTTCCTGAAAATTGGTAAACAGCTATACGCACATGGTAGAGTTAGAAATATTATACCAAGAGTATAAGGGACACGAAATAACCATGGATAGTTAATTAGGCCAAAACATTTACATCACTCATTTTGGTAAATAAATCATTGGTAAACAAATTATTTAACTGGCAGAAACTGAATTACAGAAATTATGTAAGTATATAACCATAACCACGGTACTGAACAGAATAGAACAGAACAAAGGTCACAAAAGTAAAAGTCAGAACAGAGGTACAGATTCAAGAGGTGGCTCGTACGAACTCTAGAGGTGGCTCCCACAATAGTGTAGCACTTAGCTCCGTACAGCACTTTGCTCCGCACAGAATAGAGGTCAATGGATCCATGACAAACAGAGAACCACAAAGCAGTCAAACATAGGCCAATGGTTATTTAAGTCCCCCAAGGTATGAGACTCTCGTGGTGGTACTTACAAAACATAATTATTTATAAGGTCATAGTCAAATATTCTTTAAAATATAAACAAACATATCCATGGGTTTCATTTTCACAAATATGGTTCAGAAATTAAACCACGTAACTGAAATATTTATATAGTTTATAATAATTTATAAAATATAACTTGTATAAAATAAATTATGGTAAGTCAAAACATACGTAAAACATATTATGGTCACTCAAGGTATAATATAACTCACCTTAACTTTAATACCTCACTTTTTCTTTCCATTATCAAAAACCCTCTCAACTTCCATTATTTTTTCTTCCTTTCTCTCTTCTTTCTTTCCTTTCTTTCTCTCTTTCTTTCTTTCATTTTCCTTTTCTTCCCAGGTGAACGCCTTCCTATTTATAGGGAGATAAGGCGCATACGTGGCCCCGAAATCTTCAACAGATTCGATTAATAATTATATACATTTATACTTATTTTAATACATATTTAAGATAATCACATTTTAACCCATTTTTTTAATATAATTATATAAATAATTAATCCCTAATTAAATTACACTTTATAATATACTAACAGAAGATTAATTATTTATTTTATTACCACACCCATTATTATTATTATTATTTATTTATACTTTGACGTTTAAATTCATAATAATTATATTGTTTTACAAAATTACACACAATAATACAAAATAAATCATATATTTTTCCAACTGTAATTAAATAATATTAGTATAAATTTTACAGAATAATTAAAAATCTGGGTTGTTACAATCTTCCCTCATTTTAAAATTTCGTCATCGAAATTTGTCATATGTGTAAGCTAACCCACTACAAGAAAAGTGGGCTTATGAGACGGAACTTTTTGCGACGGCACATTTGCCGTCGCAAAATTTTTTTGCGATGGCACAACTTGACGTCTCAAAAAATGTGACTTTTTGAGACGGCATAACTTGCCGTCGCAAAAAATGTGACTTTTGGAGACGACACAACTTCCCGTCTCAAAAAATGTGACTTTTTTAGACAGCACAACTTGCCGTCGCAAAAAATAGAGTATTTGCGACGGCAGAAATTGCTGTCGCAAAAAAAAAAAGAGTATTTGCGACGGTACCAGCTGCAGTCGCAAAAAAAAAGAAAAAAAAGAAGAGTTTTTTGCGATTGTAATACATATCGTTGCAAAAAAAAAAAGTTAAAAAAAAAATATATATATATTGTGGCTTTGAGACGGCTTCATATATATAGTCATAAAATAGTTTAAATAAATGCAACAGTATTTTTCTCTTACAAAAAAAAATAAAAATATAAAAACGACGTCGTCTTAGTCTTTTGAACATTTCTCTTTTCACCCATTTTTTCATCTTTCTATCTCTCTGTCTCTGTCTCTCTTCTCTTTCTCTCTCCCACTCATAACTCTTTTCTGTCTGTCTGTCTCTCTCTTTCTCTATGTGTCTCTATCTCTCTTATCTCTCTCTCTCTCTCTCTCTCTCTCACTCATCGCTCTTCTTTGTCTGTCTATCTCTTTCTTTCTCTCTATGTCTCTGTCTCTCTTCTCTTTCTCTCTCTTACTCATCACTCATCACTCTTCTCTGTCTGTCTGTTTGTCTCTCTTTCTCTCTGTGTCTCTCATCCATCTTTCTTCTCTTTATCTCTCTCATCTCTTTATCTCTCTTGCTCTCTCGCTCATCTTTCTATGTCTCTCTCTCGTTTATCTCTTTTTGCTCTTTCTCTCTCTCTCTGTCTATATCTTTCATCCATTTTTTCATCTTCTTTTCTCTCTTCTCTTTCTCTCTCTCACTCATCACTCTTCTCTCTCTGTCTGTCTGTCTATCTGTCTCTCTTTCTCTGTGTCTCTCACTCATCTATCTCTTCTCTCATCTCTTTTCTCATCTTTTTTCTCTCTCTGTCTCTTTCACTCATCTCTCTTCTCTTTATCTCTCTCGCTCATCTCTCTATCTTTCTCTCTTTCTCTTTCGTTCATCTCTCTTCTCTTTATGTCTCTTTCGTCCATCTCTCTTCTCTCTATCTCTCTCTGTCTCTCTTGTCTATCTCTCTTCTCTCTATGTCTCTTTTCTATCTCTCACTCTCTCTCTCTCTATCTCTCTCTCTCCCCCACTATGTTTGCGTTGCTCACTCTCTCACTCACGTCTTCCCTATTTACTGAGCTCTCTCTCGATTTATCGATCCATTACAAGAAAATGCACTTTTAACGACCATTTTGTCTCTCTCTCACTCATCACTCTGTCTCTGTCTGTCTGTCTGTCTCTCTCCTCTATCTGTCTCTCACTCATTTCTCTCTCTCACCACCCATCTCTTCTACCACCTTCACCACTACTGTAAACGCCATTCCACCACCACCACTACTTCTATTGTCCCCACTTCACCTCTACGATTACCATTACTATTACCATCGCCACCACTCCACTACCACTACTACCACTACTACTACTATTACCTTTCATTCACCTCTGCCACTCCATTTACACTACCACTACCATAACTTCACCACCAATCTTTTTCGCCATCACCATCACCATCATCTCTTATCCACTACCTTCACCACTACGGCCGCTCTCTTTTCTCTACAATAAAAAATTAGTTCATGAATTTTAGTAACCAAAAAAAATAGGCCGCAGAAAAATATTTTTCATTGACTATAGAAAATTAACTTTTATTTTAGTGAAAAATATTTTTCATTAAAATATTACCCCTACTTCTACCAAATAAAAAATAATAATATTTCTTTTCATTAAAATAAAAATGAAACAAATAAATTTTCAATCTTAGTAACTAAAAAAAAAAAAAGAAATTTTTTTTAAAAAATTCATTAACTACAAAAAATATATATTTTTTAATAAAAAATAAATTTTTTTGACGACGGCAACCCCCGTCGTAAAAAAAATAAAAATTAAACGGCGTTATTTTACTATTTAAATTTCATTTGTGACTCCAAAAAAAAATTATTTTTTATTTCTGCCCTTTTTTTTTTCTCATTCCCGCTCCCTTCCCCAGCGTTATTTTACTATTTAAATTTCATTTGTGACTCAAAAAAAAAATATTTTTTATCCCCCCCCAAAACAAAAAAATCCCCAATCTCAAACCCAAAAATCCCTAATCTCTTCTTACCCCCCCTCTCTCTCTCTCTCTCTCTCGATCGATCGATCGATCGATCGATCGATCGACAGCGAGCAGCGTCGGAGCAGCAGCAGCGTATCTATTTATTTGGAAACTGATATCATATAAAGTATGGGATTTCTTATTTGTTTTGAGGATTCTCAACACTCCCAAGTATGCCCTCAAGATTATCTTCTCTCTTTCTTCTCTCCCTCATATTATATGGAAAGAGATCAGCATATCTATTTGCCTGCTGTTTCTTCAATAAAATTCTCATGAGGTTAGGTTTCATCAATGACAGATCTAACTAATTATGATTTTTTCTTCTTTGAAAAATGACTTAGACAAGATTTAGAAAACTGATTAAACCAGTGGGTTCAGTCACTTACTAGTTTTCATCAACTTCTGTTGCTCTTTGGTAATCAAATTTTAGAGGGTTCGCTATCTTATTTTGTTTTGATTGTTTCAATTTCAGTCAAGTACAACTTGGTAGTTCCCCTCTTTACAAGTTAGATAGAAAGCTGGGCAAAGGGGGCTTTGGGCAAGTTTATGTTGGAAGACGGGTGATCGGTGGATCAGGGCACACTGGCCCTGATGCTGTTGAGGTATATGGTTTGTGAATTTGTTCTCATGGCTCCACTAGATCTCTGTAAAATTTCTTTGAAATTTATTCCGATGGTTATGAATGTGTCCCTTATTTATTTATTTATTTATTTATTTATTTATTTTGGGGGGGGTGTCAATAGGTTGCTTTGAAATTTGAGCATTGAAATAATAAAGGATGCAGTTATAACCCGCCTTATGAGTGGCAAGTTTACAGGTATGCAAGATTTCATTGGTAAGGTTGATTGAACTCCATTTCGCTTCCCTTACTAATTATAAATGACTGGTTTCAAAGTCTTATTCTTTATTGCTGGTTTCTTCATGAAGCACTCTTAATGGTTGTTATGGAATTCCTTTGGTCCATTACAAAGGTCGCCTAGGAAACTATTATATTCTTGTGAGTTTTCCTTTATTTTCTTTCGCAAGTCTATGATTTCATTTTGAAAATGTTTCTTGTTCTTTTTTATTTTAATTTTCACTGCTGACATTGTGAAAATCATTCATACTATCATTGTGCTTATTATATTGGATTTTGTGAAAGCCAGGTCATGGATATGCTAGGCCCAAGTTTGTGGGATGTTTGGAACACTAATAACCAGATGTAAGAAGATAGTATCCTTCGTTTTAATTGTTCATATGTTAATATTTGTTTCCGTTTCTTATTGTGTTTGCTTTTTGCACAGGCTGTCTGAAGAGATGGTTTCTTGTATAGCAGTGAAGGCAATATCAATCTTACAGCAGCTTCACTTTAAGGGGTACCTCACTCTCTCTCTCTCTCTCTCATATGTATATATGCACATGTATTCTGAGCATGCTCATAGTTAATTTTATTTGGTGATTGATGGTATAGGCACTACAAGTTAGTTTTTGCATAAGTCTCATCTGCAATATATATATATATATATGTATACAAAATAGTCTCACTTGAATGACAAATCCAACACGAATGTTTTGACATTCTATTTTACTAATGTTTTGAATTTCTTAGGTAACTTCACTGTTTTGTTGAATTATTGTTTCGTTTTCGTTTTTGTTTTTCGATTACCTTTCTGTTTCGTTTTGATTCGTCCTTTACTGTTTTTGCTGATCTTGTACTGGATTTGAATTTTTGTATCTTCACTGCGTCGAAAATGAATCGATTTCCAAGGTTTGCATCGATCTTATACCCTTTAAATTAAGGGGAAATTTCAATTCAGTTGAAGTTTATAAATTTTAATTATTAAAGTCTTGAACTTTTTCATGAATATGTAATTATTTTGTGAAAACTCCACTAAATTGTAATTTCCCCAATTAATTTTAAATAGACAACAGATATATGGATCGATATATGTCTATATATGTATTTATGCATCTAAGCTTTATGAAAAGCTACCCAATTTTGCTTTTGTGCTAGGATGAGTTGAGTCAGTGTCTCCTCCAACACAACATCGGCCTCTATTACAGAACCAGGTTTCTTTCTAAATTGGGAGCTTTGAGGATCTTGGGTTGGTCTTCTCATGGCACATATTGGTGGGCATCATTTCTCTGGAGGGTCTCTATCAGGTTTGAGATTTTTATGTATTCAAATTAAATCCTATCATATGATTTTGCAATTAGTTGGAGTGTTTAATATCCCAATGGTGGTGGTTTATTGCTTATTGTTTGTGCCCACTTCACTACCAATTATAAGTGGTTGGAACTAAGAATTATGTAATGAAGTTTTTTGATTGAAACTTGTCCTTTAATTGCTCTCTGTTTGGTTGGTCTACCAAATTAGAGACCCATTATTTCAATATCTTGGCACTAAAGAAAAATAAATAAAATAATTAAGGCTCAAGCAAGACCAGTTGAATTCCTTGTTTAGTTAAATAAGATCCATTTGTTAGATAAAATACAATACTTCTAAATTCATCTTTGTTTCACTTTCCTCAAAATTTGGTGGTGAAAAAGCATTATAAGCTCCATTTTCACACGAGTATTTGCTATACTGATACAGCTAGCCTTTTGGTTAATTAACACGAGTATTTGCTAGACTGATATAGCTAGCCTTTTGGTTGTACATTGCTGCCGACCCTCCCAGAAAGTTTTTTCTGCTTTGAACAACTAGCCTTTTGTTTGTGTTGGGCCTTTATTCTGTTATGTTTTTATTCCTTTGAACAGAAAATAATTGCAAAATTACTTTGAAAACTCCTATTCTCATTCCAGAATTGATGTGAACTAATCCTTTTTATGAAATTTGGAAGGAATAAATATTGCCAGGAGATATATATATTTGTTCATCTTTTGTCTGACTATACAGACTTTAATTCGTTATACAGACATATTAATGGCCTATTATTTATGGGGAATTTAGACACCATGGAGTCTTTAATTTTATAGGATGCGGGAAAGTGCTTCATTCTTTAACTTCTTATCATGTTTTTGAAGGTCTTTTATAAAATTCAGATTGGCCAAATCTTGAGTTGGTGTGTTTTATTTATTTTATTTTTTTTAAAGATGCATTGGCATGGATTGAATTTTCTCTTTTGTTTTTCATATTATATTTCAAGAATTGCTACATTTTTTCAGGGCTGGACGCGCTAATGGAAGACCTATATATGAATGGTGAAGTCTCTAATATCACTACATCTGTGAGTACTAGATAATGTTTGATATTGCATCAATCATTGTATAGATGTATAGGTTTCAATTTATTTGAATCCTTTAGCTAAAGTCATGTTATAATACACATTTTATATACCATATTTAAATTTTAGTTTAAATTAATGTTAGTTATAAATAATAAATAGTTACATCCTATTATGATGTTTAATTATGTTTCAAAGTGATGTGCATTACAATTCATTGTGGTGGTTTTGATTGCAATCAAAATGATCTTCGGTTATGGATATAATTGATGTTAATCACGACTCAATGTAACAGTGATCAATGTGGAAAAAGTGCTTATATCATATTTTTTATTATATTTTGATCTTTTTTTGTTTTTGTTTTTGTTTTTGTTTTTGTAAAATATTTTATAAAACCTTTTTTTGATACTTTTTGTCTTGTAAATGTCTATTGATTGAAAATTTTATTTACAAACTATTATTTTGTTTATTATGATCTTGAATTTTTTTTAATGCCTGTATCTGTTTGGTAGTGTAGCAAGTGTCATAATTTTCTTACACAGTAATTTCAGTCAAATATTAACCCTGAGGTTCTTTAACACAAGCAACCATAATTTACATGCACGAACTCCAAATTTGTATATTCACATGACTCTAATTAAAGCAAAGGAAACTCCATAAAGCTCAACATTTTTAATTTTGTATTTGATTGAGATGTTTAATTATCCATGTGGGATTTGATGACTAACAAAAAAAATGTTGTATTTGATGCTATAGTAGTTAAATTTTTATGTTTTTTTGTAATTAACATTAACACATAATTATATTGTCATTAATTATTTTTATTTTTATTTTTCAAATATTTCCCATGTAGGAGTGTGCTTCTTGTGAAATGCATGCCTGTGGAGAATGTGGCTAACTTTTATTTTTGTTATCTACAAAGAATAATGAGAAAAACATTTAATTTTGGTTTATGTTATTTGAATTATGAGCAAAATCATGTATTTAAACATTATATATGCATTATGGAACATTATGTAGTGGGATAATTTTGTTGATGTGTAATTATATGAATGGAAAAATATTTTATCATGAAGAAATTGTTATTTTTATATAGGAATTTTTATATTATTATGCAATTATTATGGAGAAATTTTAATATTTTTAATACTTTTATCGTAGGATGTTTTTTTATTTTTTCCAACGGCACTACACCGTCGCAAAAAACAAAAAATTTTAATATTTTTAATTTTGTTACAGGTTTTACTTTTTGCGACGGCACTAAACTGTCGGCAAAAATAGAAATTTTATTATTGAAAATAGAAATTTTATTATTTTTTTATACTTTTTGCGACGGTAGTACACTGTCGCAAAAAATAGAAATTTTCATATTTTTAATACTTTTTGCGACGGCACTACACCGTCGCAAAAACAGTGTTCTTGCCGTTGCAAAAAAAAGACTATTAGCGACAACATTTTTTGCCGTCTCAAATAACATTTTTAGCGACGGCAAAATAGTGTCGTCGCAAAAAGTCAAGAAATTTCAAACGTTATTAGTGACTGTAAAGTGCTGTCGCAAAAGGCTAAAATGTCGTCGCAAAGCATTAGCGAGCAAAAACTATTTTGCAACGCCTCCAGTTGCAACCCCTCTCTTGCCATCGCAAAAAGTCATTTGCCGTCGCAAAATTTTTTTTTCGACAACATTAGGAGTATTAGCGACGGCATTTTACCGTCGCAAAAAGTTGAAATTTTAGTAGTGACCGCTGCATACTCTGATAAATACATATTAGATGATTAATTTGATAAAAAATATTACCTCAAAAAACTTTACCAAAAACAACTCACTGTTTATTTGTCAAAAATTATTTTGGGCCAAAAAAAATTGTTTTGGGTCAAAATGAGAAATAATGGTGACTTTAAAAAACATTTCACTCGTTTTGTTTACGATAAAAAAAAAATTAAAAAAATGAGAACACAATAACAGAATCATATGTAAGAGTTGAAAAAAAAAATTGAGGTGAACTTTTCATTTCTTTTATCCGTGAACTTTCCACTGAAGGAAAATAGTTTCAAAATTAGTATTTTTAAAATTTGAATCCACTTTTTAAAAAAATTGAAATAATTATTTTTTTTGAATACTGGACTGAAATTTATATGTATTTAATTATATTATAATTTTGGTGGGTGCTTGAACCCGACACTGTTTTGTTTCTTTTTCCTTTTTTGCTATAACAAATATAAATTATATCTATTATCCTTCACAATTTATGCACACCAAAAAAAAAATTAATATATATATATAATATAATTAAATCGACGAATATAATATTTTGGTACTAATTACCCACTATCCTACTTCTTAAATATGCGTGTGTTCTATGCCCCAATGATGATTTTTTTTTATTATTATAAACCATTGCTCTGATACCATTTGTCACGACCTACTCCCTGTACCCAAGGGTTAAACATCGTGATGGCCAGTAACTGAGGTTACCTTCGGCCAATTCTTAAACAAATTAATAAACGCAAGCGGAAGAAATATTTAAGGGTACCAAAATAATCATTGGAACTTCTATTTTTATTACAAAATTTATTGACCAAAAAGGCCGATATTTACATATAAACATATCTTAAAAGTGCTCTGTGTGTGTATTCTGCAGCCCCGCGTCCAAGACTTTTCAAAAGCTATTTCTGAATTGCATGTTTCCTGAAAATTGGTAAACAGCTATAAGCACATGGCAGAGTGAGAAATATTATATCAAGAGTATAAGGGACACGAAATAACCATGGATAGTTAATTAGGCCAAAACATTTACATAACTCATTTTGGTAAATAAATCATTGGTAAACAAATCATTTAAGTGGCAAAAACTGAAATACAGAAATTATGTAAGTATATAACCATAACCACGGTATTGAACAGAGCAGAACAGAGGTCACAGAAGTGACAGTCAGAACAGAGGTACGGATTCAAGAGGTAGCTCGTACGAACTCTAGAGGTGGCTCCCACAATAGTGCAGCACTTAGCTCCGTACAGCACTTTGCTCCGCACAGAATAGAGGTCAATGGATCCATGACAAACAGAGGACCACAAAGTAGCTCCGCACTGAATAGAGGTCAATGGATCCATGACAAACAGAGGACCACAAAGTAGTCAAACATAGGCCAATGGTTATTTAAATTTCCCAAGGCATGAGACTCCCGTGGTGGTACTTACAAAACATAATTATTTATAAGGTCATAATCAAATATTCTTTAAAATATAAACAAACATATCCATGGGTTTCATTTTCACAAATATGGTTCAGAAATTAAATCACGTAACTGAAATATTTATATAGTTTATAATAATTTATAAAATATAATTTGTATAAAATAGATTATGGTAAGTCAAAACATGTGTAAAACATATTATGGTAACTCAAGGTATAATATAACTCACCTTAACTTTAATACCTCACTTTTTCTTTCTACTATCAAAAACCCTCTCAACATCCATTATTTTTTCTTCCTTTCTCTCTTCTTTCTTTCCTTTCTTCCTCTCTTTCTTTCTTTCCTTTTCCTTTTCTTCCCAGGTGAATGCCTCCCTATTTATAGGGAGATAAGGCGCGTACATGACCCCGAAATCTTCCAACAGATTCGATTAATAATTATATATATTTATACTTATCTTTAATACATATTTAAGATAATTACATTTTAATCTATTTTTTTAATATAATTATATAAATAATTAATTTTCTTTCCACTATCAAAAACCCTCTCAACTTCCATTATTTTTTCTTCCTTTCTCTCTCCTTTCTTTCCTTTCTTCCTCTCTTTCTTTCTTCCCTTTTCCTTTTCTTCCCAGGTGAATGCCTCCCTATTTATAGGATGATAAGGCGCATACATGACCCCGAAATCTTCCAACAGATTCGATTAATAATTATATACATTTATACTTATCTTTAATACATATTTAAGATAATTATATTTTAACCCATTTTTTTAATATAATTATATAAATAATTAATCCCTAATTAAATTACACTTTATAATATATTAACAGAAAATTAATTATTTATTTTATTACCACACCTATTATTATTATTATTATTATTATTTATTTATACTTTGACCCCTAAATTCATAATAATTATATTATTTCACAAAATTACACATAATAATACAAAATAAATCATATATTTTTCCAACTGTAATTAAATAATATTAGTATAAATTTTACAGAATAATTAAAAATCTAGGTTGTTACAATCTTCCCTCATTTTAAAATTTCATCCTCGAAATTTGTCATATGTGTAAGCTAACTGCTGCGTACTCTGATAAATATATATTAGATGATTAATCTGATAGAAAATATTTCCTCAAAAAAAAAAGAACTTACCAAAACAACTCACTATGTAGTTGTCAAAAATTGTTTTGGGCCAAAATGAGAAATAATGGGTGACTTTAAAAAACTTTTCACTCGTTTTGTTTACGATTAAAAAAAAAAATGAGAACACAATGACAGAATCATATGTAAGAGTTGAAAAAAAAAATTGAGGTGAACTTTTCATTTCTTTTATCCGTGAACTTTCCACTGATGGCAAATAGTTTCAAAATTAGTATTTTTAAAATTTGAATCCACTTTTTAAAAAAATCAAAATAATTTTTTTTTGAATATTGGACTGAAAATTATATGTATTTAATTATATTATAATTTTGGTCGGTGCTTGAACCCGACACTGTTTTGTTTCTTTTCCGTCTTTTGCAATAACAAATATAAATTATATCTATTATCCTTCACAATTTATGCACACAAAAAAAAATAATAAATAATATATATATATAAACTCATATAAAATTATAATATAATTAAATCAACGAATATAATATTTTGGTACTAATTACCCGCTATCCTACTTCTTAAATATGCGTGTGTCCTATGCTATAATGATGATTTTTTTTTTATTATAAACCATTGCTTTGATATCATTTGTCACGACTCGGTCCCTGTACCTAAGGGTTAAACACTATGATGGCCAGTAACTGAGGTTACCTTCGGCCAATTCTTAAACAAATTAATAAACGCAAACGGAAGAAATATTTAAGTACGAGTACCAAAATAATCATTGGAGCTTCTATTTTTATTACAAAATTTATTGATCAAAAAAGCCGATATTTACATATAAACATATCATAAAAGTACTGTGTGTGTATTCTGCAGCCCCGCGTCCAAGACTTTCCAAAAGTTATTTCTGAATTGCATGTTTCCTGAAAATTGGTAAACAACTATAAGCACATGGCAGAGAGAGAAATATTATACCAAGAGTATAAGGGACACGAAATAACCATGGATAGTTAATTAGGCCAAAACATTTACATAACTCATTTTGGTAAATAAATCATTGGTAAACAAATTATTTAACTGACAGAAACTGAATTACAAAAATTATGTAAGTATATAACCATAACCACGGTACTGAACAGAACAGAACAGAACAGAGGTCATAGAAGTAACAGTCAGAACAGAGGTACAGATTCAAGAGGTGGCTCGTACGAACTCTAAAGGTGGCTCCCACAATAGTGTAGCACTTAGCTCCGTACAGCACTTTGCTCCGCACAGAATATAGGTCAATGGATCCATGACAAACAGAGAACCACAAAGTAGTCAAACATAGGCCAATGGTTATTTAAGTCCCCCAAGGTATGAGACTCCCGTGGTGGTACTTACAAAACATAATTATTTATAAGGTCATAGTCAAATATTCTTTAAAATGTAAACAAACATATCCATGGGTTTCATTTTCACAAATATGGTTAAGAAATTAAA